TATATATATATATATATATATATACATATGTATATATATACATCCGATTATTTTTATAGATATCAAAATATTTAGTTTTATTTTAGTTTATAAAGAATACATATGTTTCTTCGTTAAATATCTTAAGTTTTGCAAAATTTATTAACTAATGATATTAGAAAATTAACAATTTAAATTAATTAAATTATAAATTATTTTATAATTATAGGTCAAATAAAATAATTATATGATTTAATGAATCTCCATAAAATTAAAATATTTTTTTAAATGACATTAAAAATCATTTCGAACATTTTGCAAGTAAGATGAAATCATTTTAAAATCTAAAAAAAGAACTTCCGAATTATTATTAAATTTATTCTCACTATGATTTTATATTTTATATTCTATATAATGACAATATTGTAGATTATAATAATTAAAAATAGATGCTGATAAAAAAAATCATAAAATAAAAAATTTTAATCATAGAACAAAAATTTATGAAAATACTTTCTTTGTTTTTATATTATACATATGTAAACATTATTATTTTGTTTATAATATTATATATAATGGAATTATTATTAATTATAACATTATAATATTAACATTATAATATTATAATATTTAACATTATAATATTTATGACAAAAGAAATTAAATAAGTTAGAATATATTTACAATTGTTTTGAGATACACTAACAAAAATAAATATATTTTAAAATTTTAAAATTATATAAATTTATAAATAATTAAGACAAATTTAAAGATTTATTTCAACAAAAAATTTTTAAAAAAGTTTTTTAAAATATATATTTATTTTAATATTATATATTTTTAAATATATATATATATTACTATTAATTTTTCACATAAATATTATCTTGTTAAAAAACAAATATATAAAGAAATAAAAAAATAAAATATAAAAAATCATTCAGTAAATGTTATATAAAATCAATTTTTATATAATAATAGAAATAATTCTAATGAATTTTAATTAATTGATTTATTACTGCATTATACATTTAAATAAAAAATTATTTATTATTTATTCTTATTTCTACAAAAATAAAATTTTTATTTTCTTTTTTTTATTTAAAAATTAATACATATTTTTTCTATAAAAATCATAATTTTTTTTTATATATAAATAAGCATATTTCACATTTTAATAAATAATTTTAGTTCAATATTACATTTCTTCATATAATAGAAGTTAATAGAAAATTTTTTTAAAAAATAAAATTTGATATATAAATTTTAATATTAATAAGAATTTTAAATTTTAATTTTAATAAAAAAAAATATTTAGAATATTGAAAATAGAAAGAAATGATTTTGGATTTTTGATTTTTGATTTTGGGTATTTTATTATACGTATGTAATGTCTTATAAAAATTTAAAATTAGCGCCAATTATAGTAAATTATTCGCCATATTTGATAGACTATTAAATTATAAAGTTTCCGTTCTTAAAAAATTGTTTCATTGTAATAAAATTTTGTTCTTTTTTGAATGGCAATGATATTTAGTCGACAAAATTATAGAGGTCACCTTGAAGTTTTATTTGAATTTGAGTAACATACAGGATACTTTAAATCTATCCTTGTATATTTGTTAGTGAATATATTAAAAAATTAAATATGGGAGGAAAATGGTCAGCTATGCATCCTTCTGAAGTTCAAGTTCCAGAAATAAATACTTTATTGGAAAGAGATCCATATTTAAAACCTTATGAAAATGAGATTCGCAAGAGGTATTTTAAAAAATATATAAATATTAATTTTAAGTATGTTATATAATAAAATATAATAATTATTAATATAATTAAAATAATTTTTATTTATAACAAGTTTTATTCAATGAATAATATATCTTATTATAAATATCTATTTTTAAATCGAATACTTATGAAATATAAAGTAAATTAATATTAAGTTTATTTAGAACTTGTCATTTTTTTATTTTAATTTTTTTATTAGATATGCATTATTTAAGGACTATATAGAAAAATTAGAAACTGGTGATGGCAATTTAGATAAATTTTCAAGAGGTTATGAAAATTATGGAATTCATATAAATGAAGACAATAGTGTTGTTGCAAAAGAATGGGCACCTGGTGCACAGGAATTATTTTTAACAGGAGATTTTAGTAAGTAGGTTAAAGCTATATATTTCATATAAATAAAGTAATCTCAATACATTGCTGTCTGATGCTATTTTTTATTATTTAATGCAATTGTTTATAAATAAGTTGTAATTGTCATTTTTATATATTAACTTTTAAGTTTATTTTGGAATCAAAAATTAATTTTTTAAAAGTATGCGATAAAATTATATTAATATTCTCTATCTCCTTTTGTATTTTCACTTTCAATTATTTTATCTTACATCATATTACATCATATTGGTTATTTTTTCTAATATTTGATTATTCTCTTTTTCTCTCAATTCGTTTCTTTATTTTTTTCTTAATTTTATTCCTTTCTTAATTTTTCAAAATTTCTTTGATTAAAACTTTTTTTTGATATATATTTTTTATTTCTATATATATAGAATATATAAATACATATATTTTTTTAATTTTATATTCTTACTTACTATTTTTATTTGAATAGTTTTCTATTTCTTTTGTTATTTTTTTTTCAAATATTTTTTACTTAAGTGCTTTAAATTTTTTGTTGATTTCTTATTTTCTGTTCTAACTTTATTATTAATTTCTTTATTTTTATCTCATTTAATGCTAAGTTTAATCTAATGCTATATAATATAATATTATATATATAATTTAAATTTTTCTTAGTTTTCTTTTTCTCTCTTAATAATATTTTTTTTATTTTTATTGTTAATCCAATATTCTATATAATTTTTTCATTTAGCTCTCATTCTATAGTTGTATATTTTGTATTTTTATAATTTTTCAATTTTTTTCCACTTATGTTGCTCTACATATATAGTCAATATCTTATATAATCAATATAACATATTACAGTTTTATATGTATACATATATTTGTAATGGATAATATTGGAATTAAATTTTTATTTATAACTTTGAAAGAAAATATAGTAAAATAATAAAAATATTTGAATGTATTTGAAATTTTATTTCTTAATTAATCTATTTTTATTTACAAAAAGAATAAGACATTTTTTTTTTTAATTTCATGTATCAATATTGTAAAAATAAAAATAAAAATTTTTTGTATTATTATTGTATTATTGCATGTCCATTATAATATTTGTATAAATATTAAATTTATGTTATAAAAGTATTGTGATTCTTATATTCTTCAGATTATATTTCTTATAAAATCCATATTTCAGTTATATGTGATGTTTATATTTATGTATCTAAATGTTTATAAATTTATAATTATAACAATAACATTTCATTTAATACAGTAATTATTTTTCATTATAAAAGAGAAAAATCATATTTTAAAATTGATTTAATATAAGAATGTCGTGGATATTATAAGAAGATTTAAATATAAATTTATTTTACTAAAATTTATTTTATACTAATTTAACTATTACAGCAAGAAGATAAGAAAAATACAGAAAAATCTTTCAAATGTAATAAATAATATTTTTTTTAAATATAAAAATATTTTTAACAAACATTTTCTAATATATATATTTAATAAAAAAAAAACAAAAGAATTTGAAATAAGCAATTTTTTTTACATAATATATCATTTTTACATAATTTACATATATCATTTATATTTTCGCATAAATATTTTTATAAATATGTTTTCAATTATAGCTCAAAATTTGATATTAATCTAAAAAAATTTTTAGAATAATAATATTAATATATTATAAGAATATAAAAATAATTACTTTAAATAAGAAATTTCTATTAATTCTATATCCTCATGAATTGCAACAAATTTGAAATATAAATCCTAATTTATATTGAATTCAAATATTTTTGTAAAAATCATCGCACATTTGTTAGTATCTATATAAAAGTTTGGACATTTCATGAATCTTTTAGATCTGAGAAAATAAATGAAATGTCTGTAATAATAAAAAGGTAGTTCTACTTTCAAATAATTTGAATAAATCAATAAAAAATAATTAAAACTCAAGTGTTGTTTCAACAAATATGATTTCACTATTAGAATTATTTTCTTTTTGTGTCAAAGTAAAAAGAAAAAGTAATAATAAAAAAAATAAATAATATATATATATATATTATATATATATTAATATATATATAATATATTATATAGATTTAAAAATAATAGTATTCTAATGATATAATTATATTTATAGAATAATAGATTTTATAATAGACAATATTATAATATATTATAATAATAGATTATATAATAGATAAATTCATATAATTCGTCTTCAACATCATAAAATCATTTAATATGAAGTTTTTTAATTTTAAGTTATTCTAAAACCATATCTCATATTCTGCAATATATTTTTTGTAAATTCTAATACATTTTTATATTTTATAATTTTTATAATGATCTTATAAATTGATTTAAGATTAATAATATAATAAGCAATATTTCTTTTTTTAATATCTAATATTGTTTTTACATTCATTGCTTGTAAAGTTGTATTCTTGCTAAATAAAGTCATTCCTTTCTAAATCAAATAATGGAATAGTTTGTATTTTGTAATTAAATATTTCTTTTTTATTTTATTATTTCTCATTGATAATAAACAAAATTTTTTTTTTAAAAAAGATTGCTTCAAATTTGCATTAATTATATACAATGGTAAAAATTAATATATTTATTACTTGGAACTTTCTTATAAATCTTATAATATAATATCACATTATTCTTATAAAATAAGATATATAACAAAAAATGTATAATTTATTGCTATGAACTTTTCAAATATAAATCTTTGGGCAATTGAAATTATGGTGATTAAAATGATAATGATAAATATCAAATGAGAGGTACATTTTGAATTAGCCACCATGATGTATAATAACCAGCAATCACATGTGATATAAGTACGTTACCATGGACGTAAATGTATAGACGAAATACAGTGATGTGTTACATTATTTTTTGTATATATTTCGAAAACTAACGATTGATATAAGATGACTATATAAGAAAAAATCGTTTAAAATCTTGTCTTATATTTAAAAATCATCAAAAATCACAAAAACATTACATATAAGTTGACTTCAGATAGTGAATTTAGATTAACTGGTTCTTTATTTTGTTGATTTTTAAATATATTATAGAAATTAATATTTTGAACAATTTTCTTTTTTTTTTTTCATAAGAACTTTCTTAATTTCCGATATTTTCGTAAAAAAAATATTGTTATTACTATTATTCTACATGTATACGTTCATGATAGATATGCATGTGATTGCCATTTATCAATTGTTTATATTTTATATGAATATATCATAGCAATCAACACATATAATCGTACAAGCTAAATATTATTCGTTATTTATCTATAGCGAGTTTGGATATTGGATAAATCCTTCAGAACTAAACAAACAAAAACACATTACTTTACTAAAATTATACAAATACAAATGTATAACTATATAAAATATTAAATAAATAAAGTATGAATAATTAAAACATCAACAAGAAGTGGATTATTACTACAATCCCATCTATTTATTAACGATTTGTGACATATCGTTGAAGTATCATGGAAATAATATTACCATATACAATTAAATATAAAACATACATTATAAAAATATTTTGATTTGAGATTAAAGAATTTGTAACAAAGTAAGCCCCAATTTCAATCATAAGATCCACTGCAATTTCATGATTTGATTATAGAATAGAATAGTATTAAGATATTGCTAATTTTTTTTATAAATAATAGGTAATACTACAGATTAAAAAAGATAATATTTAAAGAATGTGTAATAGTATACAATAAATTTTGTTAAAAAATTTATTGAATAAAAATTAAACATTTTATGATATTTTTTATTCTTAGAAAAAAATAAAAATTGATTAAAATTTTACATTTTTCTTTAGTCTAATCATTAGACTGAAATGCAATAGAGAATCTATAAGATAAATTATATTACAGAATTGAATTTTATTTATATTTAAAATTATGAAAGAAACTATAAAAAAATATAATATATAAATAAAAGTATTAAAAAGTATTAAAAAAAAAATACTGTAGTATATCTAAATAATATATTATAAATTAAGAACTATCTTATAAAATATTAAAATTTTACTATGAATTAAAAAAATATATAAAATATATATGTTATATTTTATTACAGAGAATATTTATAATATATTTATTATAATATATATTATTATATAATTAAAATAATATAAGGTGTTTCATCTTCTATTCAGATACAAAAAATATTTTGTATGCAATTTTAATGATATCAAAGAAAGAATACGTTGCAAAAAATATTTTTATATCAACATTATTTCATTGTTCCATTAACATAATTTTCAAAGTTATCGATTTTTTTTTTATATACATATATATATATATTTTTTAGTTTGAATATAATAACTGATATTTAAATGCATTTAAAGATATATAATAATATAACTTTACGTTGATTTTTAATTTTTAAAACAAAATTTATTCCATCAAAATTACAGTTATTGTACGTAAATATTTGTGAATATCACTCGTCATAGAAAGTATATTAATTCAAAAAATATAAAGCTGATTATTTTGTACATTTTGAAGTATTTTAAAGAGATCTTGATTTAATTTTATATATAATTCTGTATTAAAGTTAAATATATGAATATTTTTTTCGGTCATTCTAAAAGGAAACAAAATTTTAAATAATATAAAACATAAACTTAATATAAAATATATCTACAGTTATTTATGACTTTTTAAAATTTTTTGATAAATTTTTTTTACTAATTTATTAATTATATTTTAATTAATTTTAAACCACGTCTTTGATAATGTCTTTTAAAACAGCTATCTATTATATTTCAATATTTTGTTAAATTTTTATTTGAACATTTGAATTAGATAAGATTGATGTTGATTATAACAATAAATTAATATTATTTTTCTCTGAAAAAATTTCTTAATATTTAATTAATTAATTTTATATATATATATATATATTTAAGATTAATAATTTAATGCAATATAATGCTCAAATATTTATTTTTTAAATTGATTTTTATTAAATTCTATAAAATAATAATATAATTAATAATTAATTTTATTACAATAATATAAAATTCACAAATTCTCTGAATGTATTTTCAATAAATTACATATACGAATGATAAGCAACATGCTAACATCAAAATCTTTCTGATTCTGATGGAATTTAACAGTTGAAATAATTATAAAAATTAAAAATTTTTGTCTATTTTTATTATATAAATTATTTTTTTTATTGAATAAATTTTAAAATTTAATTCATCATTAATAAAAAAAAATCAAAAGTTTTTTTTTTATTTACAAATTGTTTATCAAATATTAAATGTTTATAAATATTACTTATTAATGAAGAATATCTTTCTTGATAGTCATAAAATCTTGCTTCTTTTATTTAGGAATTTATTTTTTTTTTTTTAATTTTAATTAGAAACTTATATTTTTTGAAAAAGATATGATAATCTTAATTCTTTTTATGAAATAAAATGATTTTTAATATTTCTCTTTGAATCATGCAATGTTGTCATTCTGTAAGTTTTCAGGGGCATTTTGATTTTAAAAGATTTTTTGTAGAGATTTTTTATATGTTTTAGTAATCTTCTAAGATATAATTTTTACAAAAATTAAATTTGTTGCAATTTCTTTAACATATCAGCTTCCGTTCAAATATCCATTATATTAGCATAAAATGTAATATTTTATTAAGAAAAAGTCAATCATACTATTGATCTCTTCATTAAAGTATTTATTCATAAATGATATTTAAGATGATCAAACTATGAATCTTCTAAATTTTTACTCAAACTATATTATATACTTACTGTTATATGAATGTGATTTATTATAATTTCTTTTTGTAAAGTTTAATTTAAAGAGTATACGAAAAAATTATGTTCTAATTACCTACATATATTTACATAAAAAATAATATTCATAGCAAATCTATTTTTCAAAAGAATATAATAAACATAAAAATTAATAATATTATTTTTTATTGAAGTTATTCAAGGTTGCAAAGTTTATTGCAAACGAATAAGATAAAAGAAAATAATAATAATAAAACTCACATATCGAACTCGTAGATGTAATTTTGATGAAATATATAGGAGAGATAGTTTTGAAAAAAATATTTGATATATATATTTTTTTTGATTAACATCCATTGAAGAGATAAGTCTCGAAGTTTTAAAATATATTTTTTAGAATTTCTTATGAATTATATGGTAAAATTTTTTTTTAATTACATATTTTCGAATAAGAAATTCAAAAAAAAAAATTCTATCATAAAAAAATTTTAGAAAAATTAATTTTTTTCATTCAGGATTTATATTTATGTAAAGAGAATAAATAAATAATAATATAGATCAAACTAAGAAAATATGTGCTTTTGGAATTTTTTTTTATTTTATTATAGATTTTATCAGAATTCTATGAAATTTTCAATTGAATAATTATAATGAAAAATTTGTGTAAACATATAAAAACATAAGAATTTTATAATTATAAGTTTAAAATTTAAATAATACAAGTATAATAACAATTGAATATTATAAATATATTTATATATATTTATATATAAATATAAAATATATATTATATATAAATATATAAATATTATTCAAACAGAATCTTATTTTTCTTACAAAGTTCATTTAAACATATGAAAAGAAAAAATTTAAATTTCCAATTATTTTGAAATGAATTTAATATTTTGTATATCATTATTTTAATTGTGTACATTATTATTTTAACTTTTTATTATTTTTAATTAACGCAAAAATTTATAATAATAATAGAAATTCTTAGTAGCATTAATTTTAGATTTATTGTTAAATTGTTTTAGATTTGTTTATGAATTAGCAGTCATTAATATATATTTCTTTGCCCATAAGATGAAAACGATCATCATTAGGCCTTTATTGTAGAAAACTTCTGTTCAATTTAAAATCATTTTTATTGCATCGAACATCAGATCCAAAATTAAATTTTTTTTTATCTAAGAATATTATTCTACTGATTAGTTTAGCACATGTAATTTTTTCCAAATTTTAATTGAGCAATCTTATGTTGTGCTTTCAACATTAATTTTTTTTTTTATGATGTTTTCTAAATCATGTTAGAAGTATTGCATAAAATTTATTGCATACATCGACTAATTATTAATAATTGTAATTTCATCATAATTTGTCTTGCAAACAAAAATCGATTTGTTGCTTAAGCTTTATTTCTTTCTTATTATTATTTTCGAATTGGTTTTTTTCCATAATTTTTATTAAATTTTATTAAATTTTATATGTTAAACAATGTATTAGAAAAATATACAAAATAAATTTTAGTTAATAAACTTTTCATGATAATTACAAAAAAAATTTAAATTAATTATATGTTATTATATATTATAATAATTTTTTTATATTTATATAAAAAAAATATAATGTAATTTTTTTTAAGAAAATTTTATTTTTAAGAAAATCGAATATAAAAATCAGTTAAATATGAAAACAATAAATGGTTATATATTATTTGTTTTTCATACAATCCATTATCAATTATTTTTATTCGATTAATTTTTAAAAATAATGACTATTATATTTTTTCTATAGATTATTTGTTTTTTATTTTTTACACATTGTAAATGTTATTAATATTATCGTGTATATATAATTCTTCACACTCTATTGCATATATAATTCTTTTTGACGAAAAGATAATTGAACAAATTTTGCTTTCACTTCAAATATATATTTTGAATAGCAAAAAATTTTTAAAAAATGTGAAAGATTAAAAAACAATAATAGTCCATTTATTCATCTTTAATCCCTTCCCGTACAAATTAGCTTAACAAAATCCGGGCCCAAGCGGTAGAACACTTTGCAATGTAGATTATAAGAATCGTGATTTTCTCGTGGCATATTGGTAAGAACTAAATTTCGATTGAAAAAATTCATTCTATGAGTCCCACACATAATGTTTAGGTTTGGTCAGATCTTCAGTTCACAAGTTCCACTTCTGTTATTCATGTTTAGATCGAAATCTTCATTACGAGTCCCACTCGTGCTATTCATGTTTGGCTCGAGTCAGACTCGTGATAATACGGGAAGGGGTTAATTTATCATAAAGAAATATCTATACAATAACGCTGATATACTTTCAACAATATTTGCAATATAATGAAAACAATGAAAAATGAGTTTTTGCATGAATATTTTTTATTGTTCCAGTCATATAATTGTTCATATTAGTTCTAATAGAGAGCTAATCGATACGATAACAAAGTTGTTCTTTCTCATTTGCATATTTGATCAATTTACTAAGATCGATTTTGAAAAACGAAGTTTTAGATAAAAAATATATTATTAAAATTTATTTTTTTATTTTTTTAAGAAAAATTATGCTTTGCCTGTACTACAACTTATTTTATTTTATATAATAAAATATTTCTAAACATTTTAAGTTAATAAATCAATAAAAGGAAAAAAAAACATAATTTGTCTTTTAAGATAAGCTTTATAATCAAATTTCTTATCAAAATCGCTATGAATTTCGTATATATACATATTTTATATTTTATTCGTATATATTTATATATTATTACTTATACAAATACAAATTATATTATTTATGTAATTATGTAATATTTCAAAATATAAATTATTATTTATATAAATATTAAAAATTATTTTTTTTTATATATATGTTATTTTTTAAAATGTGTATAATTCATTTAATGATTTAAAATAAACTTCTTTTTTCTTTTATTACTAATCTTAAAGTATATTACAAATTTAATATATACTAATTATAAAATATATTTATAAAATTATATATAATAATAATATATAATATATTATATATAATAATATTTATATAACAAAATTTCAAATATATTTGAAATTTGCTATTATATATTTTATTTCATTTTTTATTTGATGTAGACTTTAGTTTTTTTTTTAATAAGTTAGTTAAATTCGGTATAATTTTTATATATAATAAATTATTATACTTCATTATTATTATTATGTACCATAAGAAAGTACTATATATGTATATATGTATAACTTTTATACTATTATAAAAGTTTTTAAATTATAAATCTATTTATGAAAGTTTTTAAATTATAAATCTTAATTTTTGTTTTATATTTTTGTTACCAGATGGTTGGAATAGGACAACTAATTCATATAAAAAATTAGATTATGGAAAATGGGAATTACATTTACCTCCTAATGCTGATGGTAGTTGTCCAATAAAACATCTTTCAGAAATTAAGATAATTGTAAAAGATCAAAATAATGAATTATTGGAACGATTAAGTCCTTGGGCTACATATGTTACACAAGATAAATCTGAAAGTGCTACATATAAACAACGTATATGGTATCCATTACCTGAAAATGTATATATACATATAAATATGTATAATTATTTTATATAACTATAATAAATATTGCTTTTTTTCAATCAATTTAATTTTATAATAAATATTAAAATTTGATATATATTATATATATTTTCATTCAGGTTTATAAATTTAAATATTCCAAACAGAAGAAACCAGAAAGTCTTAGAATTTATGAATGTCATGTTGGTATTGCAACTCAGGAATTAAAAATTGGTACATATTTAGAATTTGCTAAAAACATAATACCTCGTATTGTAAAACAAGGCTATAATGCTATACAATTAATGGCTATTATGGAACATGCTTATTATGCTAGTTTTGGATATCAGGTATCTATCACATATCTATAGTGAATAAATTTAAAAAATCTGTTAATAAAATTAATACACTATTAAATTTTATAACAATATATTTAATTAAATTTAATAAGGTAACTTCATTTTATGCTGCTTCATCTCGTTATGGTACACCAGAAGAGTTAAAACAATTGATAGATACAGCGCATCAATATGGTTTATATGTTTTATTAGATGTGGTACATTCACATGCATCAAAGAATACCTTAGATGGTTTAAATATGTTTGATGGTACTGATGGGTGTTTTTTCCATTCTGGCAATCGTGGTCATCACCCACTGTGGGATAGTAGACTTTTTAATTATGGAGAATATGAAGTATTACGATTTTTACTTTCTAATTTGCGTTGGTACATTGAGGAATATAATTTTGATGGATTTAGGTATTTGTTTGATGTATATTATTTGTAATATATGATATTTATATTTTTTAATTATTATATGTATATTGTCTACCTCTGTCTCTTTTCTCTCTTTTCTATTATTGTTTATTTTATTTTTATATATATATATATATATACACTATAAATAATATATTAAACTTTTACAGATTTGATGGAGTCACATCAATGTTATACCATTCAAGAGGATTTGGACAAGGTTTTACTGGTCATTATGAAGAATATTATGGACTTAATGTTGATGTTGAAGGTGTAGTTTATTTAATGCTTGCAAATTATATTTTGCATTATTTATATCCAAATATGATTACCATAGCAGAGGATGTTAGTGGAATGCCTGGAGTTTGCAGGTATGAAACATAAAAATTACAAAATTTGAATTTTTAAAAATTTTATATGGCTTATAATAATAATTTAATGGAATTACTTATTTACTCGCTTATACACGTAAATAATATATGTGCACATATATATTTCTATTAACTATTATTATATAAATTAATTATTTTGCTTTTTTAAAAATATTATATATTATATTTACGTTATATTTTGCTTTTTATATATATTATATATTTATAATATTAAAGGCCAATTACTGAAGGTGGTTTAGGTTTTGACTATCGATTAGCCATGGCTATTCCTGATAAATGGATTAAACTTTTAAAAGAATAAAAGATGAAGATTGGAATGTTGGAGATATTTGTTGGACATTAACTAATCGAAGATGGATGGAGAAAACAGTAGCTTATTCAGAATCTCATGATCAAGCTCTTGTAGGTGATAAAACAATTGCATTTTGGCTTATGGATAAGAAATGTATTTTCATATGAGTACACTAAGTCCACCTAATGCAATCATAAATCGTGGGATTGCTCTTCATAATCTGATTACATTAATAACACATGCATTAGGAGGTGAAGCTTATTTAAATTTTATGGGTTAGTTTTATGTATAAAATTATACATAGAAATATTCAATTAAATTTCATTAATATCTGCTCGGCTAAATTCATATAATTCATTTTTGTTAAAATTTGCTTAAGTCAATGTTTCAAGTTTCAGTGCCTGATTTCACAAGAAAATCAAAATTAAAAAATAATACAAATACATAAAAATAAATTTAGGATCTCTTTTTAAAGAAATCCTAAATTCCATGAAAAAAAAAAATAATCATGTAATATAAAAAATTTCAGTTTTTGTAATTTTTCTTTACAAAAATAATGAAATTCAAATTTCAGTGAATGATTTAATTTTTTCAATTAAATGAATCAAATATAAATTTAATTAATTTTATTCAATAATCAAGTTATTATATTAGATATTAATTATCAATAATATTATTTATTAATTTATAAAAATGTTGATTTAATTACTTTAATTGGAAGAATTTCAACAATTTGATACTATTATTTAAAAAAAAATTAGAAAGGAAAATTTTTTTTATCAAATAAATTATTAATTTCTCCAGTTCTTTTAATCTCCAGTTAATTTTTTGAAGAAGAAATAAAAATGCTGTACTTATAAAAATTTAATTTTTGGATATCAAACTTAATTGATTTTAACCGGGAATTACATCTATTATTTAAGTTTTTAATAACACTATTAATTTAATTATTAGTTAATTATTATTAAAAATTTAAAAAATATATAAAGGTAATGAATTTGGTCATCCCGAATGGTTGGATTTTCCACGAGCTGGTAACGCAGATAGTTACCATTATGCTAGAAGACAATGGAATTTAGTAGATGATGAATTACTTAAGTACAAATTTATGAATAATTGGGATCGGGCTGTAAATACTCTTGAAGCAAAATATGGATGGCTACATGCTGAACCGGTAAAATGAATGATCTACTTTATTTAATCAAAAGTATTTATATATATTATAATTTCATTATATATTTATGATATTATTAATAAAAATATATGTTTTTAGGGATATGTAAGTTTGAAACATGAAGAGGATAAAATAATTATTTTTGATCGTGCAGAACTTATATTTGTTTTTAATTTTCATCCAATCAAATCATTTCCTGATTATACCATTGGTGTAAAAACTGCAGGAACTTATAAAATTCTTTTGTGTAGCGATGATAAAAATTTTGGTGGAGAAAACCGTGTTGATACTAATGTACAACATTTTACCAAACCAGAATCTTTTTCTAATTATTCAAATAGTATGATGATTTACATTCCTTGTCGCACAGCTATTATTTATATTCGAGAGGTAATGTATTATAATGTCATATATTAATATTTAAAGATTTAAGAAAAATGATTATGATATCGGTGACTATTTTCAAAATAGTTTTAAAAAACTAAAAAAAATCATAATAAATCAAAACAAATATAAAAAAAAGTTCTAATTTAGATTAGTTTTGATTTCAATTTAGAACCAATATTATATCGCTTGTATATCGATTTGATAGGTAATCAAATTTAATTATTTTTTGGTATATAATTCTGAATAATCAAATGTTTATGAAATGCCTTCCATATTCTATATTTTTTGTTATAATTTACTTAAACATAATTAATTTTCCTATTATATTCGTTTTTATTAATAATAATATATATAATAATTGTGATTATATTTTTTTAATAAACATAATAAAAGATTAATTAGTATTTTGTAAAATATATTTCAGAATGAATAAATCGAAAAATTTGATTTCATTAAAATTTTATTTAAAAAAAATTACATTATAATATAAAGATATAATTAAATCATATAGATTTAAAAATAATAAAAAAGTTAATACATTTAATAGATGGAAAGATAGCGATCTTATTTTATTTTCATTTTAATCTGATGCAAACTTCAATTATTTATAATTTAATAAATAAGTCTCACTCAAAATTTATGTATACTTTTAGACAACAAAATAATATATATAATAACAATAATAATATATTCTATGAAGAGTGCAATTTACCAAAATTTTAAATATATTTATTTAAAATTTATTAAAATATATATATTTAATAATAATTAAACATTTAATTTCATTTATAAATTTATAAAATCCTTTATGTAAAAATAGATGAGACAAAATGATAATACAACAAATGATAGCAAAAAAAACAAATTAAGTTTTTTTATTTGAGAATAAAAAGATTTTTGACATATTTTTATATATTGAATCTGAATCTATTTCAAATTACTTATCACTTTAGATTTACTAAAAAATTATTTTTTTTTGGCAATATCTTTATATAATACTATCTTTTTTCTGTAAAATTGAATTTGATTTATCATTATAACATTTTTTTTTTTCTCGATATATTTTGAAGTTATTCTATTTTTAATCTACTGGCAACAAGAAAGAGACTTATTTTAAAGATTTATTTTGGTTTATTTTTTTTAAGTAACTAATAAAGCGAAAATATTTTTTAAACAGTAAAATAAAATATTTTTTAATTAATTTTTATTCATATACATTAAAAATGGAATAACTTCAAAGCGGTATATCTCAATAAAAAAAATTCTATAATGAATCAAATTCGATTTTTCAGAGAAATAATAGTATTATTTAACAAAGATATTAAAAAAAATAATTTTTTTTTTGGTAATATTTCGTGAAAATATAGCAAAAATTAATATTTTGTATCCATTTATCTCTTAAATTTAAACTGACAGTCTGGTTTCAAATTCAATATATAATAAAAATTATAATAATATAATAAAAATACATCAAAAATTTTTTCCTTTCAAATGCAAAAAGTCAATCTGTTTTTTTAAATATATGTTATTATTTTGTCTCACCATTTTTCACAGAAATAGAAAATTTATAGAAGGAAATATTAACTGTATTTGACTTTCCATTATTAAGAAAGAAATATTTCATATATGAATATATATATAGATAATTTAGATAAATTTCAATATCGAAAAATATTGAAATCATAGGATTTATTATTTTGTTTGATAATATACTAATTTTTATTTTGGGTTTTAAAATCGAAGGTATTTCACGAATATATTAACATTATATATATATATATATATATATAGTAGTAATTAATTAAATTTAT